TGATCAATGAGTGAGCGAGCGAGTGGCTGAGCGAGTGAGTGGGTGAGCGAGCGAGCGAGTGATTGGCTGAGTGAGTGGGTGAGTGAGTGGGTGAGTGAGTGGGTGAGTGAGCAAGTGAGTGAGCGAGCGAGTGGTTGAGCGAGTGAGTGGGTGAGCGAGCGAGTGGATGAGTGTGCGGGTGTGTGGGTGAGTGAGTGAGCTCACCTCGTGCTGTGGCCGCCTGCGAGTGAATGAGTAGCGCAGGAACGTGGAGTGAAGCTGGTGAGTGAGTGGGTGAGCGAGTGAGTGAGTGGGTGAGTGAGTGAGTAGCGCAGGAACGTGGAGTGCAGCTGGTGAGTGAGTAAGTGGGTGAGTGAATGAGTGGGTGAGTGAGTAGCGCAGGAACGTGGAGTGAAGCTGGTGAGTGAGTGAGTGGGTGAGTGAGTGGGTGAGTGAGTGAGTGGGTGAGTGAGTGAGTGAGTAGCGCAGGAACGTGGAGTGAAGCTGGTGAGTGAGTGAGTGGGTGAGTGAGTGAGTAGCGCAGGAACGTGGAGTGAAGCTGGTGAGTGAGTGAGTGAGTGGGTGAGTGAGTGAGTGGGTGAGTGAGTGGCTGAGTGAGTGAGTGGGTCCGTGAGTGAGTGGGTGAGGGAGTGGGTGAGTGGGTGAGTGAGTGGGTGAGTGAGTGAGTAGCGCAGGAACGTGGAGTGAAGCTGCTCCTTGCTGAGCAGCGTCAACCAGAGACGACGCACCGGCAGCGCCCATCGGTGGTGGGACCTGGAGCCAACAGCATCATCATGATTAGCAGCAGCACCATCACCACCATCACCACCACCATCTCCATCATTACCATCATTACCACCACCATCACCACCACCACCACCACCCCCACCATCACCATCACCGCCCCCACCGCCACCACCACCGCCACCACCGCCCCCACTACCGCCACCACCACCCCCACCACCACCCCCACCACCCCCACCACCACCATCTCTCTGCTTGTGTGTCCGTCTGTGTGTCTCCGTGTCTGTGTTTTGTCTCTCTCTAAAATTTTATTCTACCTGATGACGGTTGCTTGTGTTGCAATCGCAACGTCGTACTCTATTATTTAATTTATTTTCTTTCTACGTGACTTTACAGAAAGAACCAGAGAGTAATTCCTGCAGTCACCAAAGCTTCAAATCAAGTTATAACCACATATAACCACAACCTTCTCAACCACAATCATAACCACAACCAAAAACACCAAAAGCACCACAACCAGAGCAACCACAATTACAACCAACACTACAACCACCTATACAACCAAAACTAAAGCCAAGATTATAACCGCAACCACAACAACAACCACCATAACTAAACAACAAAAACATTGATGCAGATACTACACAACCACTGCATAAAGGGTCTTTATCCCTCTGTGGGTGGGTGAGTGGGTGGGTGAATGGCTGAGTGTGAAATGGACTCGAACCTGCACCTCTGCATTGCAAGTGCAGTGAGCTGACGCCCCCCGCGTGTGGAGGGTAAAGTTGTGGGTACACCCACCTCGCTCCAACGGGTTTGGACCAGCGTGGAAGAGTAGACCAAATACCCCACATCGCGGCCTCTAGTGGAGGCCATTGCTGCCACGACAACAACTCCGTCCCTCCAGATACAAAACAACTAAATGTAACTCATCCCATCAGCCACAATCTGGCAGTGCCTCTCCTCAATAGCAGCAGCAGCAGGCCGCGCTCTGCTTGGAGCAGCGCCGTGAACTCAGCAGGCGCCCAGAGCGTAACGGCTGTGAGCCAGGCGCCTCCTCTGCCTCCCCTCTCCACCACCGCCACTGCTGATGTGTCCACACGGTGCAAGGTTCTCACCTTGTTCGGGCTGAGTCGATGTAGAGGAGGACCAGCCAGCGAGCCGCCGCTTCAGCAGCGACGGTGGCCGCGAGCGGGAATCCAAAACAGCCGCTCGCCACCCACAATGCACAGCGCTGCCTCCACTCGCCCCGGCCTCGGCGGGGGGAGGGGCGGGGGAGAGGGGGCGGGGCGAGGGGGGAGAGGGGGCGGGGCGAGGGGGTGGGCATGGGGGGGGCTCGGGTGAGGGGGCGGGGCTCCACGTCTCGGTGGGCGTGGTCACCTGGTACCGCCCCCTCGTCTCGAGCCACGCGCTTCCCCCTGGCAGTTTGTCCGTGAGAGAGGCGGGGAGAGACTCTGGCGAAGGTGAGGAGTGGATCCTCGCTGTGGGTGGGTGGTGCGGTGGTGTGAGTCTGTGTGTGTGGTGTGAGTCTGTGTTTGTGCGAGTCCGTGTGTGTTTGTATCCGTGTGTGAGTCTGTGTGTGTGTGGAGTGGTTAACGCGCTGTCAACACCAGTGACGATTATATGAACCGGTCCTGGGCCTCCCCTAGGTCGACTCAGCCTCAAATGAGTACCTAGTGTGGTGTGTAAATATCGCCACTCGGAGACAAAGGCGCGGTGTTGGCCACCCACGCCCTCGTGTGCTGTTCCGGCCTTCATAGGTGATGCTGGCTAACAGCACTTGCCCCAACAGTTTATTTCAGCTATAAGGGGGATCTTTATCTTTGTTGTTCGTGGTGGTGGTGTTGTTGGTGGTGTTGATGGTGGTGGTGTTGATGGTGGTGTTGTTGGTGTTGATGGTGGTGTTGATGGTGGTGCTATTGGTGTTGTTGGTGGTGGTGCTGTTGGTGTTGTTGGTGGTGCTGGTGACGGTGTTGATGATGGTGATATTCTTGTTGGTGGTGGTACTGGTGATGTTGGTGGTGATGTTTATGGTGTTAGTGGTGTTGGTGGTGGTTTCGGTGGTGGTTCCAACGATCCATCCTGGGTTTAACCTAGCTGGATTGTGTGAGGAGCTCACAGATCCTTGAAGGATCTGGACACATTCCCACCAGTAAGCGCCTCCGGCAGGCAAGGCTGCGTTGGCTGGGTCTTGCAGCCCGCATACCCAAGCAGTTTCTTTTTGGCCGCATAAAGGGGGCTAAACGGCCACGACATGGGCTGTCGAAAATATGGACTGATGCTGTATGGGAGGATGTTGAGTTGAGTGGACTTGTGAAAGACTGGTACCAGTGGTGTAAATCTCATCCTTCACGAGGAAGCTCATGAAGGAGGCTACTGGACAGTTGGAGGCAGTCTGCCTCCAACAACAACTGAGGGCAGAGGAGTGACGCTCACAACGAGTGGCGGATAAAATTCGGCAAGTTTGCACAGTTGGGCATACAGCTGGTGTATCTACCAAGCATCTCAGCCAACCTTTGGAACCTGGGTCTGTCCCGTGACGTCTTGTCAGCGAGCCTTCGACACTTCGCGTGGCCTGAAAGTGCACCTGGCCTGGCACAGGCGCCGTGGTGACATCATCGCTACTTAGTGGCGAATGTCGGTTGTTGTTTTTGTGTTTCGTGTTGTGAGTGATTGGTGACGATGTGAGTCTGTGTTGATGATGTGGGTTCATGGTGTGAGTCCGCATTGTGACTTGACTCGTGTTGAGATGTGGGTGCCGTCACACCCCCTCGACTCTATGTGATCCTCGGCTTCGTCTCCTGCTTCGCACGCAGAGACCTGGACTGCGCGAGAGACGCTGTTAGTTCTGTGCACCCTGCTCTGCAATTGGCCACCATGGAGGTACGTGTGGCTCTTCGACTCGTGTGGTGAAGTATTAATGGACGTGTGCTCTCCACTCCGCGTGTAGCTGTCACCTATCCATACACCTAAGTGTGCATCTGCTTGGCTGCCTGAGTGTGTGTGCATCTATCAGAGTATCTCCCCAAGATCCTCTCTGTGTACCTGCCTTTCTACGTTTTAATAATCTACTGTACTTTTATCTATCCACTACTGGATGAAGGCCTCCTTCCTTGAGACCCTGCTACCCCTCACGATCCTGCGATGGAATAATCCACCAAGAACCGATTTTGTCGCTCCATCTTTCTAGCAGCCGTCCTCTCAGACGTGTTCCGATACTTGGCTGCACCTCCGTTATTGTTCTCGACCATCAGCCATCGTTGTTCCTCGTGGCCGTGGCATGTCCTGGCCCAGCCCTACTTCTCTTAACAGTTTGAAGGATGCCATTAACCTGCGTGTGTCCTTTAAATACACACGTGTCTCATTGTTAATCCAAGTGTGACATCTGACATTGGCCAAATATCCGAACGCTGAGAACTGACATCTCAGCAGGACCCTCCTGAATGTGGAGCCCAGGATCTCAGAGATCCTGGCTCAGTGCTCGCCGCTTGCACTTTCCCCCACATCTTGCTAAAGCCTATGTGGTGGACCTTTGTCTTTGTGTGTGTGTAGATGAGCTAATCTGGAGAGGCGAGGAATAAGGGCGAATTTTGTACCACGTGGAGGGCGCTGTCCTCAGAGGGCACCGCCTCCATCTGCATCAAATCACCGCAAGGTAAGAACAGGAATGAGGGATGTCACAGAGGGCCATGGTGAATGGTGGAACATCCCGATGGCCATGTTGCATGGTGGATGTCACAGTGGCCATGATGCATTGAAGATTTCATAGCGGCCATGATACATGAGTGATATCTAGGTGGCCAAGTTGCATGGGGGACTTCATGTTGGCAGTGTTGTATGGGGGACTTAATGGTAGCCATGTTGCATGGTGGACTGCATCATGGTGGCCCTGTTGCATGGGGATGATTATTTGTGCTCTGGCCCCAGCACATCACACGCTTTCAGATGTGCTTCCGATATTAGGAAGCCACTGGAGCTATACACTTTTAAATCATCTAGATTGAAAACTAAATTCTTGAGAACTTATTTGGGACATCAAGTCCGATTTAGTTACATTTAATTTGTATCCCAAAGCACCTCCATATTCCGTCACTAAGGCCAGAACGGCGGGGAATGAGGCCTCCGAATTTGGGTGATGAACAGGCGTCGCCACCCCACGCCAGCAGGGGGCGGCATAAGGGTAGCCGGTTCGTGAAGACCCGGTCCACGCCGCCTGAGACCCCCCTCCCACCTTCTCGGAGCTCCGGACCCCAGCAAGCCTCCCGAGGAAGATGCTGAAGGAAAGCGCTGGTGCGTTCACGGAGGATCGCAGCTTCCCAGGTCCGCGCTGCCAGGGTCACCTTGTAGGGGAAGTGTGGCCACTGAATGGAGAACTTGGCAACTTGTGAGGAGACGGAGCATTGTAGGAGAGGAGCGCAGGGAGGGGGATGGATGCCTACGGGATGGAGGAGAGCACCGGCCTCGCTGAAACGGGGGCTTCCATGCAAAAGAATCGACGAGAATAAAAAAAAAACAAGGAAAAAAATCGAGCGTGTTGTGAGCATTGATAGACAGTGGAGAAGTATCAAGAGGCGTGATAAGGGAGGGTGGCTTGCTACAAGGGGGAGGAGTGGTCCCTTCATCGCGCCTTCTTCTCTCGTGATTAGACTGCTCTTTCTCTCCATCGCGACGCTCAATGTTTACTTTCAGCCGGAACGCTCCGGATCGCTTACACCGGGAATAATTTTGCGCTCGCACTTACCAGCGTGGTGAAATATGATCAAATGACCCCCATTGTTAACGCGATGTACGGGAGGGGCCTTCATCCGTTGTTGTGCTGAGAATGACTGGAATGGATTTTATTTTTGACGCATGCTGCAGTATCCTGCATTTGGGGAGTGGCGGTGCAGTGATTGGTGGTCTCAAGCTGCATTTCCAAGAGGGTCCTGAGGGCAGGAGCTGAATTGGTCGTCGTGTGTGGCAGGAAACTGGAGTGCCCGAACAAAGCCTACGTATATGGAGGGGATAACACCCAAGGAACTAATTTTATTTTTGTTCATCAGACAGCCCCAAAGACCCACACACACAAAACAGCCAGCAAAAAACATGACTATTAAAGGTGTCACCGATTAAGAGATAATAAGTGTCTTGAATCGAGCACGGTTATAGGAATATTGGAAATACAGGGGGTAAAGTTTACGTGTGTCTGTGCGTATATTGTCGTGTCGGATGTGTGAGGAATTCCACTTCAGCCTTTGCAGTCTGTCGCGAGAATGATAAAATGCACCACGTGACACCCAAGTGTTCAACAAAAGCTGGTAACCAGACAACGCACACATCTGCAGCCTTCTCTCTCAAGTGATATAATTTTGCTAAGTTCATTCCGAGCCTACGTTGATCCCCCATTGCGGTGTCTCCCAAGAACTTTAAACAACCCGCCGAGCCCTCCCAGCCACCGTCGTGTTCCGATCGAGCCTGGCGACACGTGGCTCGGCAACGCGAGCCTTCGATTGATAATGGGGCGCAGGAGCTCACTCAGCAGACTCCCTCGCGGCATCGCGGCGATGACTACAGCTCAAGCTAAACAAGCGCAGAACCTGCAGATCGCTGTGACATGGAAAGCGCAGTTCATTGTAAAGATGAAACCGTGGGAGCGCAGCGTGCGTTGTGCACATTTTCCTAGGAGTAGCCCTCGTTTACAGAAGAACATAACTAAGTGGAATGCACGTACAGGAGAACATACGTCCGTGTCACTCGACCACTTCGAGCATGCTGTTTAAGGAACTACCCTCCTCACGGTGTGTATTAATTTATAAATGTCAGGATAATTTTTCAACTGGTCTTGTGCACGAGTGGTTTTAGTCAAATCCATTGGTGCTAAACTAGTTTTGCGTTGCCAGACGTGACATGTTGCCTCCACCACGAGCAGCTTCCATTTGGGAAAGATGAGTGCACAGACACTCCTGGGTTTAAACACGTTTATGGCCAAGTAATGGCAGTGGTGCCTAAACGCGGAACAAAAACACAACATTAATTTATAATGCCGGTCCCTCCTTCATAGCGGGGATAGCCTGGTGGGACAGTGGGTTTTTGGATTATTAGATCAGCTGGTCGTGAGTCTGAGCCTAGCTGGCAAGGTTATAGGGTCATTTGGTGGATCAGTATTTTGGCAGTAAGTTACCAGGTTAGAGTGTTTATTGGATCAGTAGGTCAGCTGGTGATCCGGTGGATAGGCTCGAAGTCAAATGGGTCGATTGATGGGTCAGAGTTTCACCAAGTCGGTGTATTGTATTGGCCTCGGTGTCTTATAGAGTCAGAGGGTGGGCAAGTCGGGTGTCGGGTTCATATATATTGTTGCGAAAGTATTTTATTGGGTCATAGGATGGGGTGGCGAGTTATCAGTCTGTAAGTTATTTGGTCAGTGTGTCAGGATGATGCGTGTTGGGTCATTTACTCGGTGGGGGTACCCATGGGCTGGCGGTCAGGTGGGGGTCGTCCGTCGGGTTGGTGGTTTGGCCGTTCGGTGGCCGCGACGTCATCCGGCCATCCGTGCAAGCGTGGGTGGAGCAGCCCGTCGGCGAGACGGCTCTTCTCCTGCTCGTACCTCTGTACCAGCCGCCTGCCGGAGTTGACTAGAGCCTCGGCTCGCACTGCCATCTCCTCCTCGTAGCGCTCGCTCAAGCTGCGGAGAGACACCAGTGCCAGCGTCACAAGCGTGGTGGCACCAGCAGTACCCTGAACCGAGCAGAGCCCGGACTCGACACGCACTTGGGCCGACCAGACCAATAAACAAAACAAAACTAGCTTCGACCCTAACTGCACGATTGTTAATCACGCCACGCGATACGCACCTGATAAAAGCGCCAAGTTGCATGCGTGAGAAGTTATTATTTCCAAACGTTCAATATATTTGACATTTAGGCCCATGGTGGTGATGGTTAATGTGACACTGGTGTGGCAGGTTGGTTTGCTAGCCACCCCTACCACGCGAGACCGCAGCTAACAGAGCACACAAAACGTAATAAGTTATTACATTTCATCATTAAACGGAGAATAATTGAGAAACAATACGAATGATAACAAGACCATACAAATTATATGATCCGGAATCGAATAGTGGCCTCGCAATGAGAGTAGTTGAGTTGCTGGGGAGGGAGTGGGGTGGAATGCCGGCCCCTTGTGAGCACCACAAGAAGCCGAGGGCAGAATAAAAGCACGATACTGCCGTCGTTAGCGTCAGCGCAACAGACTTCACGACCAAGACCACATCTCATGGGGCTGCTTCCACTCGCTCAAGAGGATGCCGAGAGTTTCTTGACAGTCTAATTGGGGACAGTGAAAACACAGGGGTTGTCAGATATTGCCACACTCGGAATGAGGAAACTGAGAAGTGATGGGAGTGGAGGTGGAGGGCATTTGTTCCAAAGAGGACGTCGCCGATACGTTCCACGTCCTCATTGGGGTTTCCTTCTGGCTCCCCGTGCGCGACCGTGAGGCTGAGCTCGCCCGAGTCTTGGGCCATGCGACCCGCGCTCTGTGGTGGCGACATGTGGGCAGAGATCCGCGTCACTCAAACAATTGCTCGGTCACCAACTCAAGAGGACAGAGATCCCTCCCATCGCCTCAAGAGACCGCCGGGGCAAATGTTGCGAGCGAACATCTGTTAAGGCCGGGACGGCACATGAGGGGGTGAAGTGGCCAGCACGGAGTGGGTGGCCAGAACTAGGCCCGGCTCACTCTGTCTCCCCAGTGACCAACCCTTGCCTCCATTCGGACGAATGGCCAAGTGAGGGAACAGCTGATGGGAAGCAGGTGGCCAGGGTGGGTTGATGAACAGTCAGCTGGATGAGTTCTGAACATGTTGCAGGTTGGTGTGTAGAGACAAGGGTTAAAGGGTGACCGATAATAACAAAATGTGAAAGCTGCCTTCTGTTTACCCAGGAGAGCCCTACTGAGTCTTAAGACATTATCAGGAGGCTCCCGCTAAATTGGAATGTTTGGCCAATTGAATGGAGTGGTGCATGTGGGAAGAAACGGTACCAAGTAGAACGCCATGCATATGACAAGGATGCACCTCAATGATACGGATAGATGGAATCAAGAATCTATCGATGCACGCCTTCGACTAGTCATCTGGTGGCCTAAGCCCACAACACCCGGTATTCCCAGGGAGTCTCCCATCTAAGCACTAAGCCCAGGCCTGCTTACTCTCCCAGAGTCAATGAGATTGTGTGGTGTATTCAAAGCCATTGGGTTGAAGATAATCGACAGGCAGAGCGAGTGGTGGGCGCGTGGATGGCAGTACAAGCGGCTGATGTAGACCGCTCTGATTGGATAGAGGTGATCGAGCCAGATGATTGCGTAAGGAGTAGCGGAGTGGTACATCGTGGCCGTGATCACACATCGAGTCGTCAAGCAGGTATTGTGTGCAATGCAGTAGAAACCAGTTCTGAACTGTCACACCGGTGGTGAGAGGCTGCTGACTTGGGGATGTTTGCTCCAGCTCCAATTCGGAGTTGGGCCAACTGTAAGAAGGGAGGCCGCGCACTCGAACTTAGGCTGGCCATGACCATTTTACCAGTGGTCGAGATCCTCCCGCGAGCTCAGGGAGGCCGGCTCGGGGCGCTGGCACTGTAAGTCGGCCACGGCGAGGGTCTGGAAGTATGGGGATGTCCGCTGCGGGCGGCCGCCAGACGGGACGCCGGGTCGCTGTGCGGCAACGACGACGACGGGGAGGACGATGATGAGGGCGACGGGTGCGAGCAGCAGGGGCAACAACTACGACAGAAAAACTGATGAGGCATTGGCGCTCACATAGAGGATAGCGCACCACGTTCCGGACCTGGCGACCCGAGTTCGAGTCAATCTCACGGTTAAGAATGGCAACAGCAAACATCAGAACCGATTTCCCATCTTCCTGTGCGCTTCTCGTGATCACCTGGCTTATAATAGTTGCGCATTTACAAATGTACCAACTTACTTAGATTCAGATGAATACGAGAACCTGGTGTGGCATGTAGTGAACGTCAGCACGGGGGAGACGAAGGCAGCCGGCCATGGCTCTGGTCACACCACCTCCCTTGTGTGCAGTGCCGTTCTTCATAGGTGCGCACTTGACCTCATATTCTGTGTAGGCTACAAGTGTGCAAGTGTGTGCAAGTGTGTATATACAATGGAGTGTAGAGAGTGGGAAGTGGAGAGAGCTCCGGTTTGACAGCAGAGGTCTCACTCTGAATCAGTCAGGCAGCATTATATATTAATCGGCTGTCTACACTTGTGAAATGTGGACCCCTGTCATGGAACATCTGCGCTGGTTTGAAACATTTAGGCTGGCCTCTCTACAATCCATCCTGGGTTTAACCAGGCTGGATTGTGTGAGGGGCTCACAAATCCTTGAAAGATCTGGACACAGTCCCATCAATTAGCTCCTCCAGCAGGCAACGCTGCATTCGCTGGGTCATGTAGCCCTCATGCCCCACCACCGCATGCCCAAGCTGCTTCTGTTTGTCCAGTTAGAGGGCTAAAAGGGCAAGAAATGGGCTGGATTAGAGATGGACTGATGCATGACTGGAGGATGTGGAGCTGAGTGGACTTGCTGAAGACCGGTACCAGCTACCGCTGGTATCGGCCTCTGTGGAAGAGGCTCGTGAAGGACGCTATTGGGCAGTTGGAGGCAGTCGCCCTCCAGCAACAACGGAGCGCGGATTAGCGACGCTCACAACAACGAGCGGAGCGCTGGGTGGCTAAAGCACAGCAAGTTGGCACAGTAGAGGGCACAGGTGGTGCATCAGCCAGTCATCTCAGTCATCTCAGTCAGTCGACCCGTGGCACCTGGGTCTGCCCCGTGACCTCCTGCCAGCGGGCGTTCGACACTTCACGTGGCCTCAAGGTGCACACGGCCTGGCACAAGCGTCGTGGTGACGTCACCACCACTTAGTGGCGAATGGCGGTTGTTGTTGTTATTGTTGTGACTATGGATCTCTATGTAAATCTTCGTGACTCTATGGGTGTCTCTTGGAGGAGAGTGTAGGTCTACAATCTTGTCCCTGACATCCTTGGAGAGCTCTTTGGTCTTGGCCATGGTGGAGAGTTTGGAATCTGATTGATTTCTTCTGTGAACATGTATCTTTTATAAAGGTAACAAGCTGAGATTAGGAGCACTCCCTTTAAGAGTGTGCTCCTAATCTCAGCTCGTTACCTGTATAAAAGACACCTGGGAGCCAGAAATCTTTCTGATTGAGAGGGGGTCAAATACTTATTTCCCTCATTAAAATACAAATCAATTTATAACATTTTTCACATGCGTTTTTTTGGATTTTATTATTCTGTCTCTCACTGTTCAAATAAACCTACCATTAAAATTATAGACTGATCATTTCTTTGTCAGTGGGCAAACGTACAAAATCAGCAGGGGATAAAATATTTTTTCCCTCACTGTACATCAGCAACAATGAGGCCATTTGCTGAATTATAGGCTTCCCCATCCATTACCGTTCCCCCAGTCGTCCATTTGGCACTTCACCTCCAAAATGGTCAATGCATCTACATCTCCAAAGGAAATGCCTAACATCACCACCCTTATGGCGTTCTTGGTTTTGTGCCCAAGTGACCCATTTGCTGCCAACATGCTCTACCATTAAGGTCCCTCCTACTATACATGGACTGCTCAAATAAAATTGAAGCGACGTGCTGCTGACGGTGAATCGGATGCCTTAGGATGAGTCTACACAGTTCATTCCAACAATCAGCAGTGCTACTTTATCCCAATGCTTCTCCATTTTGCCAAAGGGCACAAATCTTTCCAAGACCTCTAAACAGTGGAAGGAGTTGTTTGTGAAACATACAGGGAAGCTTGCAATGTTCGTGCAATTCTTGCACATGATCACCATCTTCATATACCTATTACAGAAGCGTATGTTGGTCAATCCCCTTTCCAACTGAGATTGCTCCTCTGTATGAATCTTCAAGTTTGCAGCCCATCTAACCCCATGGGACTTAGTCAAAAATAGAAAGAGGGCATGAGTGAGGACATCCTCCACGGAGCTCAATGACAAAATACAAACCTCGACATCAACTTTTCTGATGTCATCTTCAAACAGGCCCTCATCCTCCTTCCAGAGAACCTCACGTCTATGAGACTACCAACACCCTACAGGGACAACCTGCATACCCTTGCTCAAGAGATCCTACGGGAAATATGCTATTATGCTTTACAGATTCTTAAATGTAGTTAGGAAAATTAACCAAAGCTGATGGATGCACAAATAGAAGCCTACACGGAAATCTTGGACATTGAGACTACAAATCGAGTCATTTTTTTATCCTTGATGTACCTGCCAGTACTGGGAAAACCTTTGATTTCAAACTGCTCCTCGCAAAGTCTCGCCAGAGAGAGACGATTTCTATAGCTGTGGCATCATCGGGGATTTCTGTGTAAGTCGATGTGTGTGTGTTTGAGTCCATGTGTGTGCGTTTAGGTCCATGTGTGTGTGTACGTCGATATGTGTGTAAGTCCAAGCGTGCATGTCAGTCTATATGTTAGTCCATGTGTACATGGCTTCATGTGAGTGTGTAAGTCACTGTGTGTGTGTGTCTATGCGTGTCAGTTGATGTGTACGTCGATGTGTTAGTCCATATGTGTGTAAGTCAATGTGTTTGTGTGAGTTGATGTGTGTGTGACTCCATGTGTGTGTGAGTCCGTATGTGTGTGTAGGTCAATGTGTGAGTCTATTTATGTGTGTGTGGGGAGCGATAGTGTAACGGTTAGCGCGCTGCACTATGAACTCGGCGACACGGATTCGATTCCTGATCATGGCCAACACCAGTGACGATTATCTGAACCGGTCCCGGGCCTCCTCTAGGTCGACGCAGCCTCAAATTATTACCTGGCGCGGTGTGTAAACATTGACACTAGGGAGACAAAGGCGGTCGGGCGTGGTGCTGGCCACCCACCCCCTCGTGTACCGTTCTGGCCTTCATAGGTGCTCGCTAACAGCACTTGCCCCAACAGTCTGCTCAGCCTATACGGGGGATCTTTATCTTTGTGTGTTTTGAATCCATGTGTGTGTAAGTCGATGTGTGTGCGTGGGTCCATGTTGTGTGTAAGTGCATGTGTGTGTCTCTTAGTCGATATGTGTAAGTCCATATGTGTGCTTAGATCCATGTGTGTGAGAGACTATGTATGTGTGTGTGAGTCGCTGTGTGTACGTCGATTTGTGTGAAACTCCATGTGTGTGTATCTAAAGTGGATGTCTGTGTAAGTCGATGTGTTTGTGTGTGTGGGTCGATGTCTGTGTGTGTCCAAGTCGATGTGTGTGTCTTTTTCGCCCGGGCAATGCTGGGTACTTCCCGCTAGTACTGTTATATAAGAGCACAACTTCATCTATCTGTGACGAACGCTGCACTTTCCGTCGTTTTCATGCAGGGGGCGCTGCAAACCTACGCGTCCCCTGTATGAACGATGGAGGCGCAGGGACAGACGTTCGATCACGTTGGAATTGATCTGCAGACGGCAGTCTTCTCGTACGACTAGCTGTGCCGCCTTATCTCGATCCCGCGATCCTAACAAGGTAAAAGTCCGCATTGAACCGAATCCCCAGCAAGGCCATCTACTTAACGACGAGAGAATATCCACACAATGTCATTTTCAATGAAGTCTTCCAGATGTAAAATGATACAAGCTTTAAATGAATAAATACAATTATCTAAAACACAATACAATTCAAAGTTGTTTCATTTTTAAACTTCAAAACGGAGCATCGGGAGCTTGCGTGGATGCGTCGCTCGTGTGCAATTTTCGTGACTTTCCTAGCCCATGGCCATAAATGGTTGTGAGGGGCACCACAGGCGTTCAGGCTTGCTTCAACCCATGGTTGTAAATATCCAGATGTTAATGGACAAGGAGCATTTGTCCTAGTTCACCAACATATAAGACGCTAAGCAAAATTTGAATGAGTGCTGTTGTGGAGAATGTATCTCCTAAATGTGCTCTGTCATGTAACCGAATATAAATCTTAACCAAAAATGCATTAAAAATGTGCTCTTAAAATTACCTCCTTGCTATGAAGCAGATCAGTAGACACCACATCTTTCATTTATCGATCTCTCCACGAAACAAAGGAATGTTTTACACAAACGATAACTAGCACAGCCTTCTGGGAGTGCATCATTCAGTGCAAACCACCTGTGGCCCTTATTGGTGCACAGCGTCTCAACAGCAGCCGGGCTTGCTTCAACCGATAGTTTCGAACATCCAGACGTTAATCAGCAAGGAGCATTTCTAGTCCTAGTTCGACAAAATCTACGTCAACACGCAAGATAAAATTATAATTCGTGTTCCTCCTTTTCGTGTAACTTTTGAGTGGTATGCCTTTTAACTGATGATCTGAGTGTGCTCCCTATTTCAAAGACAATGAGTTGCTCCAGAGGCAGATGCTTCCTGAAAACACAAAAATACCCTTTGACCTGTATCACAAGAACAACGGGTCTCACCCAAGTTCTGTACAGGTTGCTTCCAAAACACACATTTCGTCGTACCATCACTTATTCAATGTTTGACCCTCAGACAAAATGTTACATGTACGTACACAATCAGACAAGTATTAATTTTTAATTATTGACAATTATTAATAAAAATTAAATTACTGCACTTAAAATATACTGCATCAGGTTACATCGTAGTAACAAGATATAAAAAAAATACCACCGTCTGCTTAACAGTGTATGTACAACCATACTATTGCGCCATTCAAAACGAGTAGGCCATTGCATGCTGGCGTCTGGGTGAAAATGTAGCAAATTTTAAACATTACCTACAACCTACACAACTGGGATGCCACATCAACCATTGCCCCCTACGGACAGGCTCTTGTCCACATGCAGGCCGGTGCAGGGCCACCACACCTTGTGCCACACGAGGGCAGCTGCTACTTGGGGATGCTCTTCGAGTGTTTGAGACGATATACGCTACAAAACTCCGAATTGCCAAAGGCAATTTTGCAAGCACCATAAAAATGCAATTGATAACAGTGACTGCTTGGCAGCTTATGGACTCTCGCTCCTGGTTAGAGAGATCTACCCAACGCACAGGTCCACAAAAGACTGGCCGCTCTTAAACTGCAGGTTGAATCTAGGAATTGAGTGTTCAACTTAACATTCTTGGTTCAAGGCCTGTGACAAAGGTGCATCTATTGGAGCGACATCGTCTCAAGCTTACACATCTACCGGGTCTCCATTTGACTTTGTATTGTCTCGGAGGAAGTCCACCCACACCTCCACTTCCACAAACTGCTGGGAGTTGCATAGCTCTGCCTCGCAGTCAGAATTTTCCTCCTGCTTCACGTTGCCTCCATCGATTTGACGGTCCGATTTTGAATCTTCAGCTTCACATTTTACCTTCACTTCTTCGCTCTTAACCATCACTTCGTCACATTTCACCTTCACCTCTTCATATTTCACCTTGATACCTTTAAAAGTGTCCAAACCGGGATTTTCTTCCGGTTCTTGTTTGATGAGGGATGGGCTCGCGGCACTTGGACTTTCACAAGCTGATTTCAGACTCCACTCCTTGTGGATCTTCTGATGCTTGTGTGTTCTCTGGTGTCTTTGAAGATTTGGTGAAAGTGTAAATGCTTTCCTGCACGGAGTGCACCTGAAGGGTTTCTCTCCCGTGTGTGTTCTCTGGTGTTCTACAAGAGCAGATGAACGTGCAAACGCCTTCCCACACACACTGCACTTGAAGGGTTTCTCTCCTGTGTGTGTTCTCTGGTGTATTACAAGAGTAGATGAAAGTGTAAACGCCTTCCCACACACACTGCACGTGAAGGGTTTCTCTCCTGTGTGTGTTCTCTGGTGTATTACAAGAGCAGATGAACGTGCAAACGCCTTCCCACACACACTGCACTTGAAGGGTTTATCTCCCGTGTGTGTTCTCTGGTGTTTTTTAAGAGCAGATGACTGTGAAAACGCCTTCCTACACAGAGTGCATTTGAAGGGTTTCTCTCCCGTGTGTTTTCTCTGGTGTTCTCCAAGAGCAGATGAACGGGCAAATGCCTTCCCACACACACTGCACTTGAAGGGTTTCTCTCCCGTGTGTGTTCTCTGGTGTGCTACAAGAAGAGATGAATGTGCAAACGCCTTCCCACACACACTGCACCTGAAGGGTTTCTCTCCCGTGTGTGTTCTCTGGTGTGCTACAAGAGGAGATGAATGTGCAAACGCCTTCCCACACACACCGCACTTGAAGGGTTTCTCTCCCGTGTGTGTTCTCTGGTGTGCTACAAGAGCAGATGACTGTGCAAACGCCTTCCCACACACACTGCACTTGAAGGGTTTCTCTCCCGTGTGTGTTCTCTGGTGTGTTACAAGAGTAGATGAAAGTGTAAACACCTTCCCACACACACTACACTTGAAGGGTTTCTCTCCCGTGTGTGTTCTCTGGTGTTCTACAAGAGCAGATGACTGTGCAAACGCTTTCCCACACACACTGCACTTGAAGGGTTTCTCTCCCGTGTGTGTTCTCTGGTGTTTTTCAAGAGAAGATGACTGTGAAAATGCCTTCCCACACACACTGCACTTGAAGGGTTTCTCTCCCGTGTGTGTTCTCTGGTGCCGTGTCAAATTTCCAGGATGATCCGTGCTGTATGCACACCGGTTGCATTGTTGCCTTTTTGCACCGAGCTGTGCCGAGTGCCTTTGCTCCATCAGACAAATTCTGCAGAGGAAGCGACAGTTGCAGACAGAATTTTTTTCATATCCACACCATCTACACATCAGTATGATGCACAGAGGAATGCATATACACAGTAACACATGACTTACACGTCTATACTTATTCATATATTCATGATATAGTGAAAAAGTTTCCCAAATTCATCACCCAGGCTGTTATGGCACACAATGAGGGCAAATGGTCATAAACATGCCTGGAAGCCCTAGTATCTTCAAAATGAATGTTAACCCAAAACTCCGAGCACACAATTTCGGTTGTCTGGCTTCAAAAGGAATATCTATGAAAGCTAAATTCAGCTGACATAGCAAAGGGTGTTGAAAATAATACTATTTGTGTTATGCAGAAATGCATAAATTAATGTTCAAACGCAACTTAGAGGTGTGAAGCCAGGCACAGATGTCCTTGAATGCTGGGATGAACAGTTCGGAATTCAGCTGTACGTGTGCTGTGATAATGTCCCGACTCCATTTTTACAAAGAGTTCCAGAGGAAAACAAAAAACTACTACTTTGATACAACCTCCGTGCTCAATAGAGTTAATAGACTTTACTGCAAATACAAACTTGACACTGTCACACTCAGAGGAGGAGCCAGGATTTTCAGGTATGGAGGGCAACCCTTCCAGCAATCAAAAATGATAGTTGTTGTAAGGACTTGTCCCTTGCTTTTTAATCGACGCGTGTGATCGGTATCGCGCTCGCCGAAGGTGTTTGCCTTCAGGGAAGTCGTGTACTGTATACGCAACTGCGTACAATTCCACGAGTCGCTTGTAACTGCTTTGCCGTTACTTATTTCCAATTATGGATTCGGACTGTTGTTCTCTCATAGAGTTCCTGGCACGTAATAATATGCCACACGGTGGCAGTGGGGGTCGCAAAATGCCTATTTAGCTATATATATAAAAGGGAAATGTGTGGATATGTGTCTGTTCGAAATGTTTAGCATACTTCTCAACATGTTACACACTTGAAATTTGGCATGTGGGTAGGTTCCATACGGTACACAATGTAAAAAGTATAAAATTTGACTTCTGTATTTTTTTTGGGGGGGGGGTGGGGGCGGGATGACTACGAAGTGTGTGGCGTCAACCCACAACACTCCTGAGCTAAATGGTCTGCAATGCTTAGAGCTGTTCACAGCGTGCCGGGAGATTTTAGGTGGCGCTTCGCTTCTGGCCGATGAAGTCATTGGCTCCTCGGAGTTTCAATACATATTCGTGCAAATAACGGGTACAACTGCTATCTTAAACATAAAGCAGAAATTGCATATGTTTGTTTGTGTTTAGCAGCAAAAACTCTCCAACGCGGAGTTCTGGCGTCATGAAATTTACACAGCTCACGCTGTCTGGAATTTCTAAGTGAACGCGACTATTTTCAGCTCGCCATGTCATTCCCTTCCCGAGTGGCCAAAATCGACCTTACATAGAAGTGGGTTAAGTTTTAATTTCCTTGAGTGAAAACATCCGATTTAGGTAAATTTATTTGTTTCGGATTTTTTTCTTTCTTGCAAGCATCAATTTTTTTCAGGGGTTTTCAGTGAAATATGAGGGAATATGAAATTAATCCAAGACAAGAATCCAAGTCCTGGGCGAAGCCGGGTAGTGAAGCTAGTCTTATATATAAAAGTCTCCACGCGCTCCCGCTTGCGGGGGATTTGGCTCTCGAACGATGGGCTATATGTAGAAAAAAAATTGCCAGGCGGCACGCCCTAAGCCCCGCGGTGGGAATAGGCTCTTTAATTTTCCCATCCCTAAACTTTAAAGTAGTTTAATTAACAAATTTGTGCCGTTTCTATTATTAATTATTTACTTATTGCGCGACATCGACCGTACCAACTGACGCCAATTGCGTGGGGGGGGGGGGCGGACCCTACCAAGTGATGCGCATTCGCTCCACCTCACGGGACATTTACTTTTACGTGTTTAACAGCCAACATATACACACATGACGCTGCGGATATTTCTTCACAGTGTCATGTCCTCTTCGCCCCTCCCCCCCAACACAATGTGTCCAGTTTATACTACAGACTCCCTAGATAATAATATTTAACTGCTTACATACCATTATTCTTGCACAGGCGGGGGATGCTGGGTGGGGGGGTAGCGGCCCAGCCCCTAGCCTGGCAACGTGCCAACTCCGCCTCCTCGCCAATGTAGGCCAGGACGGGGGCTACGCATGGCACAAGGCCTCAACACGCCTATGGTAAGTACAAAGTTCCAAGTTTCTTACACTAACAAATCAAGTCCAATGTTTTCTATTATTAAACACATTAGTTGACAAACATTACAATAATAATGTTTGTGTGCACAAAACTCCTTATTTTTAGGTTGCTAAATTTTCCATTTTTTGCTGCGCTTTTATGACGCTGCGACGGTCTGCCTGTCTGTGATGTGGCCATGTACGCCCATGTGAATGTGTGTGTTAGTCTACATGTGTGTTAGTCCACATGTGTGTGTGTGTTAGTCCACATGTGTGTCAGTCCACATGTGTATGTAAGTCTATACATGTGTGTTACTCGATATGTGTGTGTAAGTCAATGCGTTTGTGCGAGTCCATATGTGTGTACATCCATGTCTGTGTATCTCAAGTATATGTCTGTGTGTCGTATGTGTGTAGGGCTGTGTGTGTATCAGTCTATCTATGTGTGTCTAAGTCCATGTGTGTGTGTCTTAGTCCACATGTGTGTGAGTAAGTACATGTGTGTTTATGTCAATGTGTGTGTGAGTCCATGTATGTCTGTGTGTGAGTCGCTGTATGTGTGTACATCGATATATGTGTGTAACTCCATGTGTGTATCTCTCAAGTGGATGTCTATGTGTGACAGTCTGTATGTGTGTGTACGGCAATGTGTGTGTCACTCTATGTATGTATGTGTGTGAGTCGCTGTATGTGTGTACGTCCATATGTGTGTGTAACTCCATGTGTGTGTATCTCAAGTGGATGTCTATGTGTGTGTGAGTCCATATGTGTGTGTGTCTGAGTGTTTGGGTAAAGAGAGACAGAGGCCTCGCATTGATTACTTTCTGCGAAAGCGATCAAATCAGTCGAATGAAGCACAGCAACTGGACGCAAACCATAGTTTGCAGTGCATCAGTACCACTGTCATGGAGGACGTAAACTCAAGCACCGAAGTAACAACTGAGGTGGAACCAACAACAGGAGTGGAACTCACCCAGCCTCCCAGACCTGCAGTCGAGAGGAGACTACCAGGGCACAGACCGTCTGTGAAGTGGCCTGGCACCAGTGACAAGAAGTTGTGGGAAACAGTGAATACTGACCTTACCTTGACCCTCGAGAAACTTCGAGGCACAGTGGAGAAGAAGTTGGAGAGGATGGGGGACATCATCTATGAGTACGGGGCAGAAAGTTTTGGAGTGCAAGAGGCAAAAGGCGGGAGAAAGGTTCCAACCCCACCAGTTTCCAGGAGGCAACAAGAAATCAAGCGCCTCGTTCAAGAAAGGAGACAGCTTAAGAAACAGTGGAAGAAAGCCTCGGAAGTGGAAAAGGAGGGCATAGAGGCACTTCAGGCTGACATCAAAACCCGGTTGGCATCCCTCCGTAGAGCAGAGAACCTACGGAAACGCAGAAGGAAGAAAGAACAAACTAGAACTCGATTCTATAAAGATCCCTTCAAGTTCCTTAAAAGTCTCTTCACGAAGGAAAAAAGTGGAGTTCTAAAAACAACAAAGAAAGACCTAGAAGAGCACCTGAGAACAACAAACTTTGACTCAAAGCGACATGAACATCTGGCCATCCCATCAGATATCCCACCCATTGAACTCCCGTAACATCATATTGAGACCAGCCCTCCGACATGGAAAGAGGTGGAAAACACAATTCGAAGGGCAAGAACAGCATCAGCCCCGGGGCCAAATGGAGTCCCGTACAAAGTGTATAAGAATGCACCAGACGTCCTGAGGTTCCTCTGGAGGCTTATGAGAACAGCTTGGCAAAAAAAAAATTATAATACCAAAAGTGTGGCGTAGGGCAGGCGGGGTCCTGATCCCTAAGGAGAAGGATGCAGTGAACATCAGCCAATTCCGCCCAATCTCCTTACTGAATGTCGAGGGTAAAATCTTCTTTAGGGTCATTGCCCGGAGGATGGCCGAGTACCTGCAAAGGAATGCGTACGTCGATACATCTGTACAGAAGGCAGGAATATCAGGGTTCTCTGGCTGCTTGGAACATTCCAGCATGATCTGGCACCAGATCCAAATGGCCAAGGTGGAGAAAAGGGACCTTCATGTAGTCTTCCTCGACCTCGCCAATGCATTTGGCTCTGTGCCCCATAAACTCCTGTGGTCTGCCTTCAGATTTTTCCACATACCGGTCACCATCACAACCCTGGTGAAGTCGTACTTTCAGGATCTGCAGTTCTGCTTCACCACCTCAGAGTTCACCACCTCATGGCAATGCCTGAATGTAGGTATAATGGCGGGATGTACCATTTCTCCATTGGCATTCATAATGACAATGGAGGTTATCAGATCCTCAAAATGGGTTGCTGGTGAACAGCGAGTCGACTCTGGTTTTCGCCTCCCTCCACTCAGAGCCTACATGGACGACATTACAACATTGACCACCACTGTCCCATGCACCAGGAGACTGCTCAGAAAACTCGAGGAGAACATCAGCTGGGCCCATATGCAGATTAAACCATCCAAGTCACGCAGCATCTCGATTGTGAAGGGAGTACTCTGTGACCTGAAATTCTTCATCAGAGATGACCAAATCCCAACAGTGTCTGAGCAGCCGGTAAAAAGCCTTGGAAGGTGGTATGATGCAAGCCTGAAGGACAAAAACCAGGTGCAACAGCTGCGCAAAGACATCAGTAGTAGCCTACAGTCCATCGACAACACCCAGCTACCTGGAAAGTTAAAGGCCTGGTGTCTGCAGTTTGGTCTCCTAC